ATACAGTTCTACAGTGTTGAGGTTTCTTAACAAAAGGAAATGCATACGTACGCACCCCGTTATAATTAATACCTTTTCTTATCAAGTAATTTATGCACTTTTAATGTTTCTGCAAATAAATTGGAGTCGTAATTATGACTATGCAATGAAACGAAAATTCCGCTAAAGTAGTCATGCGAAATTGCGAAATACCTTACGAACATAAAGCATACTGTCCGTGTAATTTGCACTGAGACAGATTTCCGCGTCCGCGCCAAATTTATCAACAAAGCAATAAATCCGTATCGATTGGAGTGTTGTGCCACTACGTTGCGAAATAATTTTAATGTGGGCGAAAAGTAAGCTTTGGTCGATGATGTCCGACGGTACCCTAAAAATTACGTTTAGAAAAAAAAAACAATATATTATAAAATAATTCTAACCTGCTTGACCGGAAATACGCAATGGTTGTCGTTTCATATTTATAATTTATAGACTAAAAACAAAAAAAATACCAACATCGTGTTCAATACCACCTCATACTAAGTATACATAACTATACATATAATTCAAAGAATTCTTATAATTCTATTACTATTAAGAGGTTAGTCCTTTAACCGAGACATTTGTAATAGACGTAAATATTGTACATAAGTTGTTATGTTTTAATTTTCAAAGTGCGTGTGAGTTTTGATTTCGTCTTTACTCTTTAATGACTAAACCGATTTAAAGAAATTTGGTAAATAAAGTTTATAAATTAAAGAAACAGATTACGTAAAGAACATTATAGCATTTCGGCGACCGGGGTCGTGGGTTCGATTCCCACACGGGACAACTATTTGTGTGATCCACGGATAATTGTTTCGCATCTGGGTGTTGTCAATTTAAAAATGTGTTGGCAATTGTGTAGCGGCCAATCTGATTATAAGAGAGAACTAAAGCCGACTGTGTCACAGACGTGTTTCCAAACTCTTATGATGACCTACAGTTACCTTTTTCAATGGACTAAAAGCAAAAATATTATACTTATATTTAACGCCGGTCTCCTATGAGGCACTGGTATATACAGGCCTTTTTATTTGCGTCAGATGTTGTAAGCGGCGTCACGTTGACGACACCTGCGCTCGTGCCTGTACAGGCGAGAGTATTACCCGAACGCACTCACGACAAGTGTAAGCTCTCCCAGGTAGGTGAGGGTGGGGAGGTGGGAGACCTGCTCGTGGTGCCTCATGTGTTTCTCTTTTAATACCTTAAACCAGGTGTCGCCGTGTTAGGACTGGCCCTCGTGGATAAGGCGACGTCACCCAAAACGGTCCTCCGCCAGCTCCTGCCATTGGTCGCTAGGGTTGATAAAGGCAGCCATGTCACGCTGGGCGCAATCTTTATAGCGGGGTATTGGCCGTCCGACAGATCTTTTTGCAGTGGTGCTTCACTGGTATTCTTGTCGCATGAGCTGTTAGATGCTCTACCGCGTAGTACAAATTTATTTTTCAACAACATAACAATGGCAAGATGTGGTACAAATTGTCTTAAGCTTAATGTTTTCTAGCTGACAAACATTCGTTCAAAGGAATGGGTCAGAATCTTATCGTAGCAATTGACAAAATCCACTTGGCGGGAAATTCTGGCTGATTCGAAAGCGGTAGTCTAATAAAATTGTAGTAAAAAGCCACCGCAGGAGCAATAAAAAGTGCCCGTGGGGCTTTGTATCTTCATAAAACGTTCGGAATCGATACGGGCGACCGTTGGGCATCGGAGAGGAACGTATTTACATACATCTGCATTCATTAGCGGTGGAGGGACGCTAAAGTTCGCGGCAGATAAGTGCCCCGTCGCCTATTGATTAATGTTCGGCTTATCCTCGATTGCGAAGCACTTAACTAACGGCCGCTTTACATAAGCACTAAGTACAGTTTATCGGTTGCATTAAATGCAGTTAATAACTCTCGCGGAAACGGTGACAGCTTGAGAGTGCCTCTGACGGGATGCTCAGATATTGGGTAAATTCAAATCGTCGTTTTTGAAAAAATATGTAAAAAATATGAGAGCAAAATTTTTACGATGCTCGTGCTCACCGATAGGCAAAAAGCAACATGATGAACTTGGTTGTAAAGCAAGCAACTTCGACCAACATCACGATATTACTATGGCAATCAATAACAACTTTTTGACGTTCAACTATAATTCCAAGTTATTTAAGAAAACAGTTATCAATTGTAGTAATCTCTTTTTCACGAATAAAAAGTACTGACACAGAGGATACATTTTTTAGTTATTTCTCCTTTGTTACGCTAAATGAACTTCTTACGTGCGTACATAATAAGTACACACATATTTTTTTTTGTTTTCCACTTATATTTTACATTGATAGGTTTATGATTCTATAGACCTGTTTCAACTGAAAATTTCAATTTCCTATCTTCGAATAGATTGCAGCGTTTGCATTTGGGGGAAGAAATTGATTAGCGAATTACGTTTACGAAACGTGGATAGAAGAAGCCTTGAATCGCCCACGCACCAAGTCAATATCAAAAGGCCACTGAGATGTATTGGAATAGTTTTATAACTTAGCAGTACCTAGCAATGGCTTTAATAATTTGACAAATTCACTGCTGTTCAGTATATCAAGATGTTTTTTTTTCAATTCTTAGGAAAAAATAGAATGAAATGTATTGAATCATTAGCTACCATGTTATGATAGACGGGGAGCTAACCTGGTTTCCAGGAATAGTTGAAAAGTCAGTAATGAGATGTTCCACCGATAGCGATTTGTATTACTCCTTTTTATAATATAGTATTTCCATTAATGATAATAACGACACTTTTACAACAGGGTTGTCTACGTCGCAACGGAAGAGATTATTTCGAAATTTTCTGATTGATAATAAAACGAATAATATGTGACTTTCTTGATGGTAGTAACTTATGCAGAGCACGTCAGACATCGACTTAGGAACAACATAGTAGACTATGTATTAGCTATATACTAACTTAAATTGCGACAGCCTTAAGTGACCTATCATAGTTTAAGTTGGTACAGGCCAGGCAGTTTCCCCTTTAACACCCCAGCACTCCCATCTCATAAGCGTTATCGCATCGAGCGTTTACCGCGGACGCCTTATCGCGGCGGGAGCCGGGCGTCGCTACTAGTGTTGACAGCTCGACCGGCGCCATTTGTCAAGTTGCCGCGGTGAACGTATTAACAGCTGTCAGTAATGTAAAATGGCCGAAGACTTTTACCACTTTTTGGAACGTCAAAGTCACCTCTGGATGAGTCATGTGTAAAAGAAGACAGATGTCAAAATGACATTTCAAAGTGTTGAGATAGTAACTAATTGGTCGAAGTACTAGTAACATCGTTAGGATCCACTCGAATCAAGCCTAATTAGCGTGCTTTGTGCGTGTATTTTGCTTTGTTATTACATCAATTATTATTTGTACATAAAATAAAGGTCTGTCCTGTACAGGCCTGTTAAGTAGGTTTGCCGCACAAGCGCCGCGAGTCGTGAACAAAACTGTCGCCCTGGACAAAAAAAAAAAGACTGAAAAGAGCGTGTGGCTCTACCACAGTTGTTCCTAGTAGAATTATTATATACAATTGTATAAATAGTTGGAGTGCGATACTCAGTAGACGCAGGTTAAAATCTAAAAAAATTTCCACATTTTATCTATTAAACTTACAAGTTAATTTTTCGTTGAGTGCAAATTAGTACTAAAAAACGAAAAATGATCCTAAATTTCAATAGCAAAGGCAAAACTGCTCGTAAAAATATTAAAATTTAAGAGTGTTTAACTTCTGTAAAATACGGTGTTACCAAGCATTGCTCTAAAGCACCAGAAGATACACCGGTTGGAATCCCGTAATCCTGTATCATTTTTGAACAATTTATTTTTTAAAGTTATATTTAGATTATAAAATATTTAGGCTGGTTTTTACTTTAAAAAATTTTAATCTGATTTTATAGCGGCTTCTTAAATGCGATTAACATAAAGTCCGATCGACACTAGTATGTAAATTATTAACAGGTTTCTTACGGAATGTCGAGTTGAGCGAATGCCTCCAATTGGGGCGATGATAAAGTTAGCATCGCTAATGTCAATCCAATAAAGATCTAGCACACGGAATGTAGTACTAACCGGATAGCATCATCGTACAATTAAAAAAAATTATTACATCATCGCAGATCTAATATCCTCTTTAAATTTAAAAATATTAATTATTAAGTAATACGTAAGTCCAAGGATACCAAGGCTTAATGCTTTTAAATAACCACTAAACATGTTTTGTTTAATCCTAACTCAGTGGTAAGTTTTACCTGTACATTGTCAGTGGTATGCTTAATAGTCTAGGGTGGCGTTCTCACCTACATTTTTTTACTATTTATTTAAAAGCTCTCTGTCAAACTTAGAGAATTTGAGAACGATGATTTTGTGACAATAATGATTCTACAGTTTTTCCGAATTTGCCGTTTTAATTCCATGTGTATTGACACAAACAAACAACAAAAACGTCAAGTTAAATGCAACCTGCCAACGTAATCGGGGTCTTAGAGATTAACGCTACATTGATTCCATTAAATTGAAGATATTACAAACATTTCCTATAATTCTTAAATACGTTATTAACGTAAAATAGTTTTTATGCAAAACTTAAACATTAACCACCGCGGTGAGGTCATCAATTTCGAATGCTAATTTTATGTTTATTAGATCATAAAAGAAGTAATTTATTTATCATAACATATACTTTTTCAAGGCAATGCCTTAAAACATCGGGAGCAATAAAAGTTATTATAAAGATAACTGGTTTCGTTTAGAAGTTCGTAGAGGTCCCGATTTCACTCTCTACATAAGCGCAGTGTTCTTAAAAACACGTGTATGGTCGCATTTAACTTGCCACCCTTTTATATCGTTTCGCGTGAGATTTCTACCTGTGGGGGCGCCGTCCCGTCCGCTTTAACAGATGTGAAGATATGTAAATCGCGGGCGACATTGACAAATCCAAAACAGTGCCCTGTTTACATCCCGCCCTCGGCATCCACTGGGCGGCAGTCGGGCGCGAGCCGCCGTGCCATCCGCCCGCCTAAGCCCGCCCGCCCTGACACCCGCCCCGGGGCAACTTGCCGCGAACTACTTTGACGTCATTGGTGTTCGTGTTTTGGTAAAAATATTAAGAGCGTCTTTGCCGTTTGTTACATTGTGGTGGTGCTTTAACAAGATCTGTAGTGATATCAGTTGGGTCGCAGCAGTGAAGGTAAGGATTATAGAATTTGGTTAATTTAACTTCGGCAAGATTATTACGGCACACTAATTGCTGTAACGTCCAAGCTTAGTGTTATCATTATTTAATAACTAGTAAAAATTGTGAAACTTCCCTTTTTTTACAACTACGGTATGCTTTTTGGGAAGTAATTGGTCATCAGTTATATGTAAGGTATTGAGCGTAAGTTATACATTGGATTATTTATTGTTTTAACTGTCCCAAAAGTATAATATAAATAAGTAAAATATAAATTAAGATAAAGTTTAGTGAAAACTCATAATATATAAATAACAATGAAAATGAAAGCATTAACAAGGAAAAAGGAAGTGTCACTGTCGCTTAATCTTGAGTTTAATAGCATAAAAATTTTCATAAATGACGAAATAAATACAATCCATGTATATATATTCAAATAACATAACTGCTGAAGGTGGTAAGAACATAACAACAATAAAAGCTCTTCAGAGAATATTTTAAAATACTTTCGTGAATGGTGTGTTTCTTTTACATAAAAAAATTGTGACTTGTTTTGATACGTTTAGAATGTGATTCATAAAAAGACTGTGTTACTCTATGATTCTGTTATAAATAGTTATATTTGTCTGGTTAATTCCAATATTGTATTCATGTTTATATTTCTATAATATATAATCTTATATATTATAGAGATATGAACATACAATATTGGAACAACATTAATGATAACAATTAGTTCTATATTTTAATATACACATGTATGTTTAATAATCTTTTTCTCTACTTTCATCTTCAAAATAATGAAACAGCAACCAAGGTACAAATAATTGCGAATAATATAGAAATCAGGCATAATTATTAAACAATAGAGTTCTGGACAGCTTTGAAAACACAATTATCAAATACTTGCTGTATTCGGAGGTCAAAATAAGGAAAGTGTTTGCGGGCATACATCAACCGACTCTGTTACTACGATCATCACATATCGCGCTGCATTTAACAATTACAAAAATTTACAATGAAATAGCGAGGCCTGACGATGATTCACATCGGCAGCTTCCGTTCCGCACCGCGATGATTTATCTCACGCGGTTGTACCGTTGTCAGTCAGCCGGCACCGGGCCCAAGCGCGTTCGCAACCACACGCAGTCAAAACGAGCGTCCAGCGAACACTATTAATACTAAGGCCAAATATAGCAGCGCCCGGAGCGCAATAAACAAACGGCGTGTTGAGTCTGTCGCCGCCGTGCCGCGTTTCTTACTGTTCCAGTACTACAAGTAGTATTTGGGCGAGTACTTGTGCCAGCTTGTTGTCTTAATCGAAGCGTGTGTCATACACGTTTTAGCATTCGTTAGACCACTTTTTATTAAGTAACCGAGAGCGAAACTTTTTATCATCCATGGAAACAGTCACAAATGTTAGCTGGCACATTTTGAACTCTTTTAGAATTTTTATTTTTCTTATCTACAAACTCTGCGTAATACAGTGAGTTCGTACTGACATTTTTTATTGATGTTACCTGAAACATAAAATAAATCATTACTTATACTCAGTTTTTTTTTGTTTTCTATAAACATGATACTCAAAATCATGTACGTAGTCAGTCAAGTCCCAAGTTACGTATAATGTTTATTTCTTTTTCGTCTTGTTATGGACATAACGTTATGTAGTAATTGTATATAATTTTAATTTTGTAGCTAAAGTAAGTCCTCACTTTTATCATGTTTTATATTACATAATCACATAGTTCAGTCGTGACTTGGTACACAATGATGTTCTAATGAAGATGAAGCATGTCCATACTGCGCGGCGTTGTTCGGCTTTAAAATTTATCACATAATTATATAAGTGAATGTGATAAATGATACAGAATGTATGCTACGGAAAGAGATAGCAGTCTACAGAATTGCAATCGAATTACAATTGGCGTCATTTGAGTCTCAGTTTCGGTGCGTTAGTGTCATATCTACCTCGTATTTGTATATATAATATCATTGGTATATAATCGTTTCGCTTGACAGCGGACTCGCCCGCCACAGTCGAGTCTGCTGGGCGGTTCAAACGCACCCACCTCGGGTGGGCGACACACGTGGCCCCTCACCGGATACACGTATAATAGTAACGCAGTCCGTTTGCGCTGTACGGCTCTGATCCGATTCACTGACCGGCGTTTGACTTACTCGTTTTTGAGCGCTCTCGCCGGCTTCTGTGTTTAACACCCTTTTATTAGCTTCACCTGAATGTATACACATATGAATGTAATGGAAACTCTCCAAGCAATTTTTTATTTTTATTTTATCTTATTTGGTACATAGAACAGCAAACAGTACAATAATTTTAACAATAATCTTAATAATGGCAACTTATACACACTGTCCGCCAAAAATATATGTACACTACATGCTTCGGTATAATTAAAAAATATTAAGTTATAAATTAAAAAGCCAAAAGACAAAGGTATTGAAAGTAACTACTTAAATAAAAGTAAAAAAATAAGAAAAAAAAAATATTAAAACATTATGTGCCTCGAATTCTTCGTTTGAATGCACTCAGCTTCTGATGGAATATATCTACTGATTCATCAATGGTTGTAAGTTTGTTGTACAAGGAACACATTTTAGAGATAGGGTTATTTTGGGCAAATTTGGTAGATGCTAGTGGAATATAAAATAATTTGGCATTACGACTACGATAGTTTGTATTCATGCCTATTTTAGCTAGTAACTCAGAATGGGCCACTGAGTTAACAATTTTGTACAGAAGTACCAAAGAAAAATGCTGCCGTCGTTTTTCTAGGGTATCAACTTTAAATATTTTAACCGTTCCTCATAGTCAGGCAAAGTTCTCTTAAGTCCGTAACGATATGCTGTCATTCTAAGTACTCTTTTTTTGAACTTGTTCTATCCTAGAAGAGTGTATTGCGTAATAAGGTGACCAAATTACCGAAGCATATTCCAAAATACTTCGTACTAGTGAGATATATAAAAAAATAATACTTTTTGGGGATTTGAAATCTTTACTTATTCTGAAGATAAAACCTACTAATTTGTTGCATCTCATAACGATAGATTCATAATGTTCCTTACAAGTCTACTTGCTGTCAAGTATTACTCCTAGATCCTTAACGATGTTTCTTCGTTCTAAGGGTGTATTATTTATATTATAATTGAATTGTATTTTATTGATGATCTTACTAAACGATATTACACAACATTTATTAATATTAATTTTCATACAGTTATTTCTACACCATTCAGACATTGTGTCAAGATCTTTCTGCAAAGTAATACAATCGGAGAGATTATTTATGAAATTGAATATTTTCAAATCGTCCGCATATAGCAACTTTTGACATTTAAGCTGATCTGTGAGGTCATTAATAAATATATTAAATAATAATGGTCGAAGTTTTATGTGTAAACGAAGAATTTGGCTGTTTAAGCGTGGACTTTGACTGGGAATCATCTAACTTTAATAGTCACAAAAAATATAGCTTTATTTTTACTTTGGCGCAGTCATTGTTTTTTTATTTTTTCAAAGTTTAATTACATTTAGTTATGTTTAAGTATGTTTATCAGTTATCTAGTATACAGAGAACAAGATTTGTATGTAAAAATGTGTCCTAAGATATTTATATTGATTTATTTATTTAGTTGTATATATATTTACACGTATAGTTTTGTTCATCTTCTATACGTAATAATCGTTAACACTATCCAACTAAACTTTCTAATTTTTTGCTGGAGAGATGTTTGTTGTCTGGCGTTTCTATGATGTTAAGACCACAGCCTCCATTATGATCAATTCCAGCTGTAGTTTTTGTTAATTTCTTGCTTGAGTCTCAGCAATTAATAAATAAAACTTTTGTAATTATTAAACATTTACTAGGGTTACGGCGATTGTGAAGCGATTTACGCATTCATCCTTGGCCGTGCATATGTAATGAAAATTCCTTAAAGCATTTGCTTAATCAGCGCTTTAGCGGGTAAGGTATCATTTCTATCGCTCTTTCACCTGGAACTGTTGATGGAACCCTTATCGTGACGGGGCGCATTCCCAAGAAAACCCATTTCGCAGGAGGCACATATTCGTATGCAAAGTGTCCCGACGCCGCTCCTTGTGGTCCCGCCCCGCGGGAACCAGATATTCTATTAAGATACAGACCCTTCCCGCGTTTTATGATTGCGCCGTTCGCCATATTTTCGTCATTCCCAAGAATCTGTCACCGTGAGATATGGCTGTCGCGATTTCGTAACGCGTAGACACGGCGTGTAGTTCATTTGCTTCGGGACAGCCAGCAATCTCAAGTTTGCAAGTTTCAACCAAAACCTGTTACTTTTTTGTGTGTAAATAACTGACATTTGAACGTATTTGAGATCTAATCATCACCATTCGGCTCACCCTAATCCTACAATTAGTGAAAAATATAAACGCACTACGGAATTTATTTGTTTATTTGGGTCAAAACTAGAAATTGAAATTTAGCATATCCCCCAATTGATCTGAAATTTGGTACCCACATTTAATTTAGATGACAATACAATATGTAGTTTGAAGTTTCAAAAAAAATATCACATGTTTAACTTAAAGCGGTTTTTTACATGAATTATTGTTTGTTTTAAATATATATACATATGAAGATGTATATTTCTGCCCGATTTTAAATTGTGAATGTCTGTTCAATTTGGTTCAACTTTCATCTCAAGACCCTTCGCTTGAGGCTGAATTGAAGCCGAAAATATGAATATCATCCAAAGTGATTTGTCACAAATCGAAAGGAAAGTAATTGCGGAGAAACACGCTCCTGGTTCCCGTTCGCACCCATCGCTTGCTTGCAATTTCCCTTCGTTTTCATTTTCACCAAACTTAAATAATTTGTTAGGGAGACTTTACGTAATATTTTTTTACTATAACCAACCTTTAATAATGAGGTATTCTTTAAATCTACTTAGATTCTTGTATTATAAAAATATTTTTAAAAGCTTTTAAATAACATTAAGTATTTTTATATTTATATAACTTTATCCACTTTGTTCTTTAATATTCATAATAAGTTAAAACGTATATAATTTTTTTTGAAAATGCAGTTTTTCCCATTAGCTAAAGCAAAATTAAATCATTTTTTTTAAATTAGGTCTGTTTATAACATGTTGAAAGAGTGTCTTTATTCAAGAGACTATTCTTTACACCATTAAAAAATGTCATATATAGATTTAGAAACCTGATCTAAGATTTATAAAAAGAAACTGGTCCCAATACAAGACCGCGTATTATGCTCTATCGCATTTTTAATCCTCGATTTATCCTTTTTTCACCTAAAGGGACGTGGTGTGAGAGCGCAGGTGTTTTGCTTGTGGGTTCTGATATCAATCAAGCTGCTGAGTGAGGAGTCGTGCCGATGGGGGTTGGCAGCCGCGGCCGTCACGAGTTTCCGATTAGAGTCGCACCTGCAATGCCTAGGGTTGCTATTTTAGCCTAAAAATTACGTTTCTTTCATTTATTTTTAATAAACATTATTAAATCAGGTGAACCGTCAACTATTTTATTTTATTTTTTATTTCAGCCTGTTTTACTGAACAGCTTTAATCCTTTTTGACATTTGCACAGGTCGTTGATGTCCTAAATATACGAGGCTCTGAGAATTTCAACGGAAGTTCATCTTATTTCATTTACTAAGCTTTAATTTTTTGACATTGATGAAATATATCTGAATTTCAATTATGCACATGTTTTCAATTTCACTTGCAACAAGCATCATTCAGCTTTTTTAGACGAAGAGATGGCAAACAGCTCGTAAGTCTACTGCATCAGTACGAGTAGTCTCCTCTAATATCTTCTAGCATCTTCTAACATTAAATAAAAAGAAGCGAACGGTTATGACTAAGTAGAAGTTAGAAGTAGGGTTACGATCGCATCCAGTGTAACTGATTGGAGAGTTTTTAAGACAATATTTGTTGAAAGAGTCATGCAGCCCTGTGCCAGTCGGAGCAACGGTATCGAGTAATAAGTTGAACACTAGATGAGTGCTGGGATCGGGTTCTGTTTTCTGCCAGCATTTGATGCACGCGGTGCACGACGCGCGTGCGTTCTTTCGCATATCCGTTAGGAGCTCTGATAACGTTTTAGATTTGGAAGCGTTCTAAGTTGCGTCCATTTGCGTTTAATTTTACATGGTCAGTACTTCTTGTGTCGTATATGTATTGTATCATATATCTTTAAGATAAACGTGACGTGTCAGATGCTCGCTTTACAGTGAAGCTGAATTATTTACTTTAGTTCCACGGGTCGTAGTTTCGTTTCCCGCCCAAGATAAGTATATAATTATTGTGAAATAAGACACACGTAATTGTCCAACGTTTATTGCGAAACTGGACCACCGCCAGAAATCGTCTTACTTACGTTTTTGGTGCCTACCCTATATCTAAACATATTAGACTATAAAACAGAAACAATATATTACAATTATATTTAAGAAGATTAAATTTGGAAGTGTATACATATTTTGCTTGAAAACACCGGCTATGTCGTAATGCTACGTTAGAAGGTCAGGGCCACCCAATCGGTAATGTAACTTTCTTTTGGATTGAAATATAATCCTCACGATGTGAATCTACAAATGCGGTTAAATAAGATGTAATTAAGAAAACAAAATTATTACTAAAAATAATTAATCCTTCAGTATTAACTTGATTTTGTATACACACATACTTTTAAAAGTTATACAAATTTTATAAAAGTGATTTCGTACTGACAAAATCGTCAAATTGCTGTTAAGGTGATATAATCGCAGGGGCAAGTACCAATGTTTCTTTTGTGTTTCGAATTATTTTAGTACCAAAGTCACAGTTCATGACGTAAAGAAGCATCTTTCCTACATTATTATTTCAACCGGAGTTGATCGATAGCGGCCTAAATATGCCACGAAAGACGCCAAACTGTCTGGCGTTGTTGTTATGCCGTTTGCGCCTCCTTCGTTTTTATTCCGTAACTGGGAAAATAAATTTTGCAAATGACTCCTGCTTTACAAATGATTAATACTTACAAATGATTGATAATATAATCCTGCTTTGTAGGGACGTTTCACATACATAAATTTCACGTGGATACACCCTGATCCGAAACAATTATATTTATCTGTGGGTCACACAAATAGTTGTCCTGTGTTGGAATCGAACCCACGATCCCCGGCGCAGAAGCCAATAATTTGGCCACTGCGCCGCGGAATCAATTGTTACCTATAACACAGTTATATTATGTAAAAGCTGTAAATGCTAATCTTTAATACAGTGATTCTCAACCTTTTTTTTGTTGCGGCACATATTTAACGATTTTAAAATTTGGCGGCACACAAAAAAAAAGATAAAAAATTATTTACTTACTACAACACACTGCATAAATAGTTTATGACAAAAATTTTAAATATACGAAATAAACTAATATATACTACAATGATAACTAAACGTTTATTAAGGGATTAATTACAAGTTAATAATAAAAATATTTTTAATGCGAAATTTGAGCTTGATGTTTTTTGATAATTTCATTTATATTTGGTCGCAAAAATGACAATGCTACTCTCATATCGTCTTCTACAATTAACAATCTTGAAAATTGATCTTTTTTTAGTTTTAATGTTGGCTAGTGCCAAAAAATATTTTTCTTTTTAAATGATATAATTTAATAATATTAACATTATTATATATTTACAAAATTTGGCGGCACACTTTTGAAATTTGGCGGCACACAAAAGTGCCGCGGCACAGTGGTTGAGAATCACTGCTTTAATAAATAGCATCGTAATCTTTTGTGTGTTGAAGTAGGTACAAAGCTGCGTTTACATAAACAGATAGTTTATATTAAATTTGCTGTGAAATTATTTCTATTAATAGCGAATCCCAACGATAAAACCAAATAATAAATTTGGTTTTAACTGTAATGATGCTATTAATTGAAATTTAGAAAATTTATTAATTTTAAAAATGTTTTGACAAAATTTGTCTGTTTTTACGTATTCGTTTTAGTGTAATCTTATATATATATATATATATATATATATATATATATATATAATTGGAATCTCGGAAACGGCTCCAGTAATTTTCATGAAATTTAGTATGTGCGTAGATTCGGGGGCGAAAAATAGATCTGACTAGGTTTCATTTTTAGAAAATGTCGTCTTATCCCAGTTTTCAGGGAATGAAAAACATTATTCGAATACGACGGTAAATTTCACCAAAAAAAAATGTTATAATAGCTCGGTCGGTAATCGGGCGGCCGCTAACAAACAGCCACGAAACAGAAGGCCGTGGTTCGTAACACGATCATTTACACACTTATTTTCTTACTTTTTTTTCGATTCCAGATCATTGCTTTCTTTATCTTTTATTTTTTGTCGATTTGTTATTCTGTTATTTCTTTCCCTTTTTTTTAAAGTTCTTTCTTTTGTGAAAAACACCAGTTCATATTTTCTTATTATTACGTCGGTAAGATCGAAACATATTATGCATATTTCATTACTTAGTAATTTGTATCTAAATGTCATTTCCAAAATACACGATTTACCAAAAAAAAAAAACAAACCGAGCAAAGCTCGGTCCTCCAGGTACTTAGATTAAAAAGACTTATTACAGATTCTTAAAATTCAAACGCGTCATATTGACTCTAGATGATATTCAGACAGAAGTGTTTTCTTCCACTCATAAATATCAATATTTATATTGTACATCAATCTGAAGAGAGAGAGTCTGAAAATATGACCGATGTATATTAGGATGTTGACTATAGATATAAAAAAAATATAACAACTGTGTTATTGTAAAATATTGTCGATGTCAGTTATTGATAAATTTTATATTTTTTATTATGATATCAAAAAAACAAAACGTCGTAAAAATAATTACATTTTTCGGAAACTAAAATGCAATTTTCATTTATCTATTCTTGCGAGGCTATGGAAAACAAATTAGCTAATATTTTACTATTATTAATTGATTTCTTCCGTTGTTTTCAGGTAAGCGTGGACTCCATCCATTCCAAGACACGATCTTGATTCTTCACCCACTTCGGCTAGATTTGTCCCAATGGCCTCGCTGGGGTAAAACGCTTCCACATCAAGGTATTGTACTTTTAGTAGATTATTTTTATTTATTTATAGACGCTTACAGCAGTTATTACACCCATACAATTTATAATAACAAT